GTGTGTGTGTGTGTGTGTGTGTGTGTGTGTGTGTGTGTGTGTCGTTCGGTCGTAACCAAATCCGCAACAATTCCAAACTCAGTTCAGGCAGAACGGATGGCCGTCATTCACCCCTAACCGACGATCGGGGAAGTCCACAGAAAAGTTGCAGAGTGCAAGCAAGCAGAGATTTATTAGCATGTACACATTTAGAAACAGTCGGTACTGCTGCTTACCTGTCAAGAGAGGAGGTATGTTCCGCGTTTCCGTCTCTTACAAGTCCTGTGCAAGACAGGCAGCAGCTGTTTACTATGATTTGCCCGCAGCTTACGTTTGACACGTGTCCCCCGCCGAGGCAACCAACAAGTCCCTTTCCTTGATCCAATCCAACGCTGAGTCACAACAATGAAATATGGCCCCAATTGCGCTACGACCCCGATGTGCGATCCGATCCCGACGCTCGATTGCGCGTTCGATCCGATCGATGCTCAATCCCGCGTTCAATCTGATCCCGACGCTCGATCCCGAGTTCGATCCGATCCCGATGCTTGATGAAACGCCATGCACGGGGAAACACCGCCACAGTTGCAAGGATTTCTTTTCTACGCCAATACGCACAAACAAAAGAGGGTCTAAACACACCGGGCCGTACTCGTGATGAGTAGGTGCAAGCTCGAGGAAACACAGGTGAAAGCTCGGTGAAAGCTCGACGAAACAAAGGTGAAAGCTCGTGGAAGCTCGGTGAAAGCTCGACGACCAATCTGTTACAGTCCACCCCTTCCCTTGTGGAGTTGGAATAGACACAACACACACACAGGACACTTCACCCACAAAGAACACAAGAGAGACACACGTACAGAACTTTCGGCAGCTGTCCCCAAGTTGGGGCGGCCCGGCAACACAAACAGTAATCCGATCAGCTGGAGGCACCCCCGCCAAAACGTCACAACGTCACAAAGTCACAACGTCACAACGTCACAACGTCACAGCGTCACGACGTCGCAAACCCTGGCATAGGAAGTGCTGTCACTCACACACATCATGATGACGAGGACCTTCCTGGACGTGTCTGAACGGAGCTGCAGCCGTTCCTAAATGGATACGGCAGCAGTTACGGCCAGAGGTCTGTAGAAAAAAAGTTTCGATGTGCGTATATGACCTCAGAGCTCTCACTGTGCGCGCCATTCGATATACGATATATCCTTCACGCTGGCTCGACTTTCGTTTCGTGAATGAAAACCGAACGGCGAGCGATGTTCCAATCGATCAGAAGTCCCGCCCTTGACTGTCCGGAGCGGAATTAAGGCTACAGTCTTCCCCCGAACATAACGCACCCTGATAACGAAGGTATACAAGCTACGTTTCTGGCCCGGTACAGCCATACTGAGGGTGCGTTGTGCTCGGGGGAAGACAGTGGGCCTGAATGTATGGGCCTTGCTCCGCTATTCTAGACATTCACGAAGGACGGAAATCAAGGCGGTGTATCGTTCCATGTTCTAGCGGAAGATTCACTCTCGTTTTGCACATGTCGAGAGTGATGGAGCGAGGCACATCTCGAGAGTGATGGAGCGAGGCCCTTACTATATGACGGCAATCACGTAAAATTCCCTATGTGAGTGCGCAATCCATTTCGCCGTACCAGCAGACGGCCAGCCTGCCCATATCATAATCATAACAGCCAGCTTGTGAACGACCGGTAGCAGCTCGTCAGGGACGTTCGCAAGCAGTGGCGGTTCATCTTCTTAGGGCATAATCACACTGCGACCCCAAATCCGCAATTTGGGAAGGGTCGATTTGAGGTTTTGGGCATGCTTCGGGTCGCACTGCTGTACCTTTTCAGATGGGACAAGGCCCTGGCCGTCTGGAGCAATGGTGATTTGGTAGCTGTACCTTTACAGATGGGACAAGGCCCTGGCCGTCTGGAGCAATGGTGATTTGGTAGCTGTACCTTTACGGATGGGACAAGACCCTGGCCGTCTGGAGCAATGGTGATTTGGTAGTTTGCTGGTCACACGGAGCCATCCACAGATTGTGCAAGAACTTTCGTTAACGAATTTTCAACTGTGTACCGCGCTCTGTGCGCGGATGCGCAGCCCGGAGGGAGCGAGCGTAGAGGTGCAAAAGGGAGAGTGGTCAAACCGTTCTCTTAGAAAGGCATTTTATTCCTCATGTTTCTGCATATCATTGGGGCTCATGCTACTATGCAACACTCCACACTTATTTGGAGGCTTTCAATGTATGCGGTCCTGAAAAGTGTCACAACACATGCAGAGTTTTGTGCAGCGGAGGGAACTTCTTCAATTATTATGGGCGCACGACAGTCGAGCAAGGATAGGGAAATGTATGTGGTCCAAAAAAGAAGCCAAATGCATGTGGAATTTGGGAGCGCTCGTGTGCATGATCTGGTGTCCCATTCAGGACGTCTGCAAACTCTCCCACAGCGAGCATGGAGTGTGTTTTTCGAAAGAAATTGAGGGCGAGATCAACAAAGCTCCACTACTCTCGACATTCTAAAATACAAAAACTATGACACTGTACCTTTCCATGTTTTAGTGGAGGATTCAATCTCATTTTGCACATTTTGTGAGTAGTGGAGCGAGGCCCGTAGAGGGTAGGGAGACATGATGCAACTAGACAGACAAAACAAAAGGCAAGAGATGAGGAGGATGAAAGGGAAGTGTTAAAGAGAAGAAGAAGAACACGAAGAAGCAAAAGGAAGAGAAGGAGAAGAAGGATGGCGTTCGTAAAGAAAGGCGGGGAGGAGCCGGAGCAGAAGGAGACAGAGAAGAAATTGAGTGCGAGGACACCCAATGATTGAATGCGAGGTCAATAAAGCTCCACGACTCTTGACATGCAAAAACAAAATGACTCAACTGCAGAGCACTTCACTCCCTTGTGAATCTCTGCCATATGTCAGTTGATGTTTACTATCCAATCGTAGCGACTTGGGGATCAGAGAACCAGGAACATCATTCTCATACCGCCGTTCCCATATCTGTAGGTTAGAGTACATGCAGAAAGGGGAGGGAGAGAGAGAGAGAGAGAGAGAGAGAGAGAGAGAGAGAGAGAGAGAGAGAGAGAGAGAGAGAGAGAGAGAGAG